CGGGGACGGGGTCACCACTTGTCCCCACCACAGCCACCGCTGCCCCGTGGGGACCGGGGTCACCCACCGCAGAAGGCAGGGCGGCACGCTCGGAGCTGGTGCGGCGGGCGGTGTGGGGTGAAAGCAGAGGGGTTGGGGCAAAATTTGGGATGCAGCATCAGGGATACATGGGTGAATCCCCATGGATGGGGCAAAATTTGGGCTGCAGCATTGAGGACACGTGGGTGAGTCTTCATGGATGGACAAAATCTGGGATGCAGCATCAGGGATGTGTGGGTGAGTCCCCGTGGATGTGACCAGATTTGGGATGCAGCGCTGGGGATGCGCGGGTGAAGCCTCACGGATGGGGCAAAATCTGGGATGCAGCATCAGGGACACGTGCGTGAGTCCTCATGGATAGGGCAAAATTTGGGATTCAGCACTGGGGACACGTTGGTGAGTCTTCACAGATGGGACAAAATCTGGGATGCAGCATTGAGGACAGGTGGGTGAGTCTTCATGGATGAGACAAAATCTGGGACGCAGCATCAGCGATGCGCTGGTGAGCCTCGCAGATGGGGCAAAATCTGGGATGCAGCACCGGGAATGAGTGGGTGAACCTTGATGGGACAAAATTTGGGATGCAGCACTGGGGACGTGTGGGTGAGCCCTCATGGATGGGACAAAATTTGGGATGCAGCATCAGGGAAGTGCAGGTGAGTCCTCACGGATAGGGCAAAATTTGGGATGCAGCACTGGGGACACATGGGTGAGTCTTCATAGATGGGACAAAATCAGGGATGCAGCATCAGGAATACGTGGATGAGCCCTCATGAATGTGACCAGATTTGGGATGCAGCACCGGGAACGCGTGGGTGAACCTTGATGGGACAAAATCTGGGATGCAGCACCGGGGAAGTGCGGGTGAGTCCCCATGGATGAGACAAAACCCGGGATGCAGCATCGGGGCCGCGCGGGCGCTGGGCACCATCGGCGCTGCCTCCCCGGCGCTCGGCCACCCTTTTGTCCTCGCCTGCGATGGGTGTCCCCTCATTTATAAAAATTACCTGGGAGGAATGAGGCTGCCAGGGGCTTGTTCTGGCCGATTGGTTCCCGCCGGGGGGGCGAGGGGCTGGCGGGGGAAGGATGGCCCTCGCTTGAATTTGACCGGTGGGTGACCGTTGCCTTCCAGCTGACCCCGCCGTCCCATCCCCAGCCCTCCCAACTCGGGAGCCAGACTCCCGGAGGGGTTATTCATGGGGTACGC